CAGAAAGGTTAGTTTCCTGATCTCGACAGGACTTAAAGAAGGGACGATTTGTAAAAATACTTAGATTCTGTGCTTTTCATTCACACTTGCTTTTCTTAAAATTTCCGGAGAGACATAATTATATTCTCTCTAGTAATAATTAATAAAATCTTTCCAATACTTTTCCGCCAATGAGTTTTAAGAAAATCAAGTGGATGAAATATATGTCCACTTTAGAGGTAAAGCTGGTCACGACGAAGACGTGTGGGGAAACAGAGGTATACTTCCATGAATTCTTAACCTCGGCACTGGGTGGAGGAGCATTTTTAGGTCTTATTGCAGCAGCATTAAACACGGCGGAACTATCCCCTTTGAACTGGCAGCAGTGCCGGTCTGGATATGACGCCGTACACAGCAGACAGTGTCCCTGCCGGGAAAGGAATCAGGTCACGCAGCCTGCAGACACGCTTCTGACTGAACCATTCCGCCAAGTGGATTTTCATTATTTCTTTCTTTAAGGTCCTGCAGCCCTTTGGACCATGGTTGCTTTTTCAGTTTCTTAATCCTATACACAGCCGGTAACTCTCCTAGGACGGAGGATCAGCCAGTCTCTAGGCCTCTACCTACACATGACAGCACAAACACAGAATAAACACACACAGACATCCATGGCTCACGAGGGATTCGAACCCACAATCCTTGTGTTTGAGCAGGAGAAGACTGTTCATGCCTCAGACCGCGCAGCCACTGCGATGGTCTGATTTTGATTATGGATTACAATATTAAGGAATAAATTTAAAATACATGAGGTACATTCGAAGGTAAAATTACAATTTTATCTGTTGGATCTAAGGTCTCTACAGCGGTCAGTATGAAGAGAAACTGCCTTCTGGTTTGTAACAGTGTAGTTCTGAAACAGCTCAACTTTTCGGAGGAAAAGATCGCCTCCACCTTCAGGTTAGAAAAGTAACGCAAGGAAGAAACCAGCAGAAACAGTGGATAAGCTTCCTTACCTACTACACTACATGGCGTCACGTCCAGAAGGCCACAATATTTAAATAGTGGCCTTGTTCTAAGCGAATTATGTTAACAGCAGGTCATAAACCGGTCTTTTTAAGTTGTATTGGGTGTTTATAACTTGGAACTCTAATCTTGAGAAAGTACAAGCGGAACTACTGCATGTCGTGCAAAAAAGTCATTACTTTTATTGGTACATAAACGTTCTGCAGATCGGGGCTGACGAAATCATACTATCGTCTCAAACTGCGCATAAGAATTGACTAAGACGACTTTGAGAAAGAACATATTTTAAATAAGAAAAAGAGTTTCGTGTTGGTAGATCGAGTGAATAGACTTCTTTCCATTTTATAGAAGAATTTCTTCCCGTCTCCCTAGGCAATTTCTTAGGTGACATTGACTCTAAGGTGTAGACTACGTAGAACACGGAGCTCTAAGTTTATTGCATACAAACTTAACACAAGATTTCATCTCATTTTCTTTCTCTCCCTACATAAAAGTAGCCGCCTCTTGGTCGTGGAATTCGATATAATAAAACTAAGCGAGGATGACGCGAGACAGGTAAGAAGATAAAAAAGACACAGAAAAGGAAAAGGGGAGAAGTATAATAAAATAAAGTGCAAAAGAACTGGTTTGCAATCTGTACGGATTTGTTTCAATAGCATTTGTATATACCTACACACGTTTCTATCTTTACATCGTTTCAAACTTTAAACGGTTTGATCATCAGCAAGAATCGAATCAAACTTACGAGAAATAAAGTGAAGGAGAAATAAGTAAAGAAAAGAGAGACAGTAATAGCCGAATTGCGTAACGACTTTTGTGTCTCTCTGTCTGACAAACTAATGGTTGGCTCTACTTTCGACTGATCAAATTGATTAAATAACTTCTTCACCGACGCATACGAGAATGTTTCCAAGCCTTCAGGTGGCGAAAGAAACGCGTCGCATTCAATTCAACCTAAAAGACTTGAGAAAACAATTTACTCATCAGTACCAAAGGGCATATATACGAGTATTAGCAACACGTCATACCATTGTATGCTTTCAGGTTTGATTTGTTTCATTCTGGTCCGTCACAATAACAATTACAAATAATAAATCACTTCGTCCAATGTGACCTGCAAGTTTCTTACTACATAAAAACTTACAGGTCACATTGGACGGAGTGATTTATAATTTGCTTTCAGGTTTCTTTATTATAACATCGTACAGTCTGATGGGCGAATGTCAGCTTTTCAGAGAATTACATTACTTAAAATTTATGGACGTAAACCTACAACAAATCTCAAGAAATCTCAGACTTCGATGACATAACCAGTAGCATAATATTTCATTTCATCATCCTGTTGTATTAATATAAATTATTTCATATATAATGTGCTCTGACATGACGCCTGAAAGCCAGAATAGTCCATTGCTAGAAAACGGCTCGCTAACACACATTTTCCATGGATACGCGCTAGACTATATATGGAGCCGTGCAGAGAAGAATGGTTCATTCATTCATTATCCCGTGTGGAGGCGGGATCGAATACCTCCACCGTAGCCCTGCGAGTCGTAGGAGGCGACGAAAAGGGAAGTCTCGAAACTGAAACAGTAAAATATGGCCGAAAGTCCCATGGAACTCGGACCCGAGAATGACTGTGCTGGCGAAGGCCAGCAGCAACTGTAAACGACAGACGCGTCCTCTCGTCAGAAAAGCGCCCTACACCAACAAACCCACAACTGTCTTATGGTAATAGAATTCTGGTCGTGGGCCCCAGACGTGTGCTTCATTCCAAGACAAGAATGAGAACGATTTATTCGTAAGAGAGTGGACTTTCTAGGAAGTTGCAGTAGAAGAAGTGACCGATTCGTCAATAAGAACAAAGTCGGTCACAGTTGAAGAGAAGACACTCGTAGTCCAGTAAGGAAGGGAGCTTTTCTTAGACGGCCATTGACTGTGAGCTCTTATAATTGGTTGTAATTGTAAAGAAGTGCCAATAAATCCAATCATCCAATTCAGAACCCGATATATTCGTCTCATAAACATCTCATACGTGACAGTATGTTTCCGTCACAATGCAACACAACATTGTTGCAGTCACTTCAATCTTTATTCATGACATGTTTCGGCCATATACGGTCATCATCAGGTGCTCTCAATATGCCAGGCTGTTCACTGTACTGCCGTTTTTACTAAATTCAGCAGGGCGACCTACTTTAATTTAAATTTTAATAACAATTTTAATTTTAAAATTGAGACAAGAAATGCAGTGAAGAGTTTAGCATAACGAGGGCACCTGATGATGGCCGTATACGCCCGAAACATGTCGTGAATAAAGATTAAAGTGACTGTATCAATCTTGTGACTGAAATCTACGTACATGAATTATAGCCAATAGTAAGCTTCGTTGTACCGAATAAAATACGTGTATCTTATGTATTTCTTAGGTTCCTTCATTTCTATATCGATGTATTTTTTTTCAACTTCTGTTTCATAACGTGAATGAAGAATGATGTATTGACAAGGTTGCGGAAGAAACGTTTACGTCCTTTCACAAGGTACAGACTAAATTCGCTAACGGCTTCAGAGAGACAGAGAATCGAACGCGAAACCTCAGGTATGCAAAGCTGAATTACTAAGTACTCGAAAGAAATGTTCGAGACACGTTCAATATGAGTCTAAGTCATTCCCAGAACGATCAAAAGCAACGTTAATTAAGGTCAAGTTGTCCCTGTGCTTAATTAGTTATGCACTATGCCATGAAAGCATAAGAGGAGTAGATTTATAGGGCCATATATTCTTGACCTCGACACTAAGCGATTAGCTTCATGGCCAGGGAGCTTTACCCCTGCACCCATTGGATAGGAGGCTGCGGGGGCTCACGAACCGGCATCGACAACGCGGAGAAAAGAAAAATCTCACCCAAACCGGGATTCTAACTCCGACCTTTCGGTATCTAGCCCTAAACGGTCGCTATACGGACTGCGCTATATTAAAACGACACTTTCACAGCTTGGCTCCTGGCTTTCGAAGCCTCAGTCTGTCTACTAACAAAGCTATCAATCATCATATATACAGATTGTGGCCCTGCACGTAACACAATCCTGGGTCATATGGTAGAATATGGACTTTGTACTCCGGAGAGCGATGTCCGGTCTTAGGCGGCCCATACACGTACGAGTCTGACGCGGGAGTCCGGCTTGGCGAGGAGCCGGGCTCGGATTAATTTCGCCACACACGTATGAGCGTGGCGACCCACACTTGGACGAGTTTGGCTCTTTGGAACCCGAGCCGAGTCGGACTTGCGAGCCAGACTCTTACGTGCATGGGGCCCCTTAGTCTAGGCTGCTCTGGGTTGGTACCAGAACTCTTCTGAAGTGATCACTTGAGAGAAATATTGATGCTCCTATAAGAATCTGAAATAAGGGGAGTCACTTTACAGATTGATCTCTAAGTACCGAAATAAACGTGAAGTACTGTGGTTCCGAGGCTTTGTGATACTGGTTCCGTGTCGTCATGGAACTATTTCTTTCTTCGTGCTACAGCCAGTCATTCAATTTCTGTTACCAAATCTGGATTAAGTTTGCTTTCATTTCTTAGAGATTGGCAAGCCCTCGTCTGCTCTAGTGCTTACTGGTGATGTCTAGCTTTGTCTGACGAGGCCCGCGGTGTATGAACCCCTATCTGCTGTTTGAAGACGGGAGGTAGAACCGGACTTCGTAAAGTCTTATATACTCGAATCCATACTATGAACAATTCTACCAAGAAATGTATGTTTCGTCTGAAAGAGTAATGTTAAGAATACATATTTCTCTGTTCGTATAAACTCGCATTTACATATAAAGGAAGAAAATTTCTCTTGCCTCTTCCCAGTTTCTTAATGTAGTCACTTCTTTTATTTGTACTTGTGCCCGGAAGAGAAGACTGTGTAACAGAGAGCCTGAGCTCCTATAAAAATCGTATACATCTAACAAACAGGAGGGAAGCGCAGTCAGTATATATAAGCAAGTAATTACCTGGCAAGGGATTCTCACAACACCGAGCCCGTTACAACCCTCGTGAAGCGCCGTCCGTTAGCAGAGGCTTCCTGAACTGCCTACTGCACGCTCAGGTCTGGTGACTCCGCCAGTGTGGATCAAACGGTGGAGTTACATTCTCCAGAAAGAGGGGGTACTCTGTAGCGTAGTTGGTTAAGGGGCTATGGTACAAGCCGGAAGGTTGCGGGTTCAAGTCCCGATGAGGTCATCCGCCAACTTTGAGCCAAGTGTCTAGATAATGTGGGATCATCAACATCTCACAACCCTATGGGCTTTCACGACCTGGTAAAGGGATAGCTTTACTTTGTTTTTACATCCAGAAAGAAAAAAATACTATATTACGTGTACATAGTAATATATACGTAATACAGTTTCTGTGTTGACATATTTAACCGCCACCTTACAAATTTCAATTCACTTTGTGAATCTTCAGAAAATTCAGTTAGAACATTTTGGAGCCAGACGTCACTTTATAGCCAAATATTTTAAATATATAAAAATATATCAAAATGGCTGCTGTTGAATGTACGGAAACGAGAAAACTATAGCTATTAAATTTAACATCATACAATTTTGAATCATGTTAAGTTTTTAATCATCCGTAAATTTCCTGATACGTGAAACAAACATATGCTTATTTCGAGACAGAGACTTTATATTTTCAAGTGTATGACAGTAACAATGAGTCCAAATTTGAAATTTGACACGACAAAGTATTATGAATATGCTGCAACTTTAGAATAAAACATTCTACTATGTTAAATTTAATTTAATATTTAAAAAAGCCAAAACTCCATTGTAACTAACATGCGAAGTTACTTTCAATGAGGAAGTATGTACAGTCCTATATGTCTAGAATCTATACACGAAATATTTCTGTAAGTTCCCAAAATTTTTAAAAATTTGAAATTATATTTAAAAAATTAATCCAGCCTTAGTAGGCCAGCATTTCACATCTGGCTTGGATTCGATATAGCGGTAGACGCAATTCAGAAATATCTTCCTTGGCTCAATTTTCAAGTACTGACATCCCTACATGCATTCCTTTAAATACGCAACGGTCATATTCTTTTCGAATTTTACGTCTGCTCTTTAATATGTGTTCATGACGTAGTGCTTAATTAGTTAATCACAGGGCCAATTTTACTTTCTTTTTTTCTCCTTGGCACTACAGCCCCAGTGGGCCTAGGCCTACCTCCATGAACTTCTCCGTTCACTTCGGTTTTTCTAGATCTTAGACATTCGGTAGGACTCCTTGGGCGGGTGATCAGCTCGTCGCAAGGCCTCTACCTGTACACAAACACAGAAAAACACACACACAAACTAAACATCCATGCCCTGAGTGGGATTCGAACCCACGATCCCGGTTTCCAAGCGAGAGAAGACAGTACATGCCTTAGACCGCTCGGCTACCGTGACCTGCCAATTTTACCTTTACCCTACTTAAAATATATCAGTTGCATATCCCACGTCGCTGGTATAAGCTTCAGCATGAAGGACACATGCTAAATGCAAAATCGAGTATTTATTCCTAACATTTCCGAATAGAGGTCTCAGGCACCAAAAATTGTCACGAATTTTAGAATTATTTTTGAGACATAAATCAAAAGCAAGAGTGTTGAGTGAAATGGCTTCAAAAATCCACGCTGCTGCCTATTTGCTGTCGGATTTAGAGATCTGGTCAGAAATTGGATACAGGAGTAGGCAGGCTCCAGGTTCGCTCTGGACGTTGTGAACAAAATATTTCGTACAGTCGTTTGGAATAGAAGCCATGTTTGCCAGATGCAAGTACTTCAGCATATACCTGTATAAAAAACCTGAATGTTTAGTGATTTAGAGAAATTTTTTTTTGAAAAAAAAAACTGTTATTTAGTACGGAATATTTAAATTGCGACTGTAAACAGAAGATTATTCGCATTACTAATTACACCTTAATGAAAAGGAAATTCACATTCATTAATCTCTTAATCAAGCGTCATGCACAGCTGACAAAGTAAAATACGTATCTATCCGTAAAAATAGTTTAGAGCATCTGGGAACTATTCTGACTTAGAAGAATTAAACAGAGTCCACTGCCAAGGTGATAAAATGAATAGTCATTCTCTCGAGAACATTATAATTTGTGCTTGTGGCTGATATAAAAATTGTTATAGCCAGTTAAGATACGTTCATTACATTCGAAACAACAAGAAACCTCGTAGTATCACCATTATGCTATATTAAAATAAAAGCGAAATTTCATGTTCTGTGCACAACTTCAATTCTGAGAATATTTTACTTTTCTCTCTACACGAAACGGCAAAAGTGAACGTCGTTGAACAATGCTGTGTATCCAGACTAGGCAGAATGCCGAGACGGCTGTCAGGTAACTTCAGGCACAGGCATGTCTCTCCCAAGAAACGAGCCAGGAGGAGGAGGAGGAGGAGGAGGAGGAGGAAGAAGAATCCTTAGTAAACCCAATTTATTTCATTCCTCAACAAGAAAGACCTTTAGAGCACGACAAAATGGTGATGCTCCGGCGATTTGTGAAACACTTGGCCCCATTACAATGCTATAAATCTTTGTTTCTGCCAGCGTCTCTTTTTGCGGCCCCCTTGGTAAAGAAAGCTATTCTATATAAAGACTTACTGCCCTTTGTAACGCCCTCGGAAGCTAATGGCGTGGCACAGAGCGCAGAGATGAAAACAAGAGATCAGATTCAATTTTTAATTCATACAGACGAAAGAACAACAACGCATTTCGTCGTTCAAAACTACGGAGTAGATGTCCATCATGTGTAACAGTTCTGTCTTCGGGGATATAACGTCGTGTAATCCGTTGAATGTTAACAGACATTTCAGAGGAACATGTCGCCTCCATCTTCAGGTTGGAATAATAAGCCAAGCATGAAGTAGGTAGCAAGCAGAAGCAGGCTCTGCTGTAATGTTTTAATAGGATTAAGAAAACGTTTCGCCTTTACTTAATTTGACTGAACATAAATTATCAATATAATTACATGAAGAAGAAATACAAATCAAGACTAAATTATTAATACAGATTTGAGCGTACTAAGAGTAAATGGTTAAAATCAGTTAAAATAAATTATGAAGTCTTGAATAAATATAGCAATATAATGATCTCCGTTCCTATGTTAGTTATGTAGACTCTGTTGTACTGTGGGCTGTGTCCGTCTGTGTGATGCTGTCGTATATAATCCACTGACACGCGTAGTAATGTGTATTACTTCTACTAAACTAGTTACACTTGACGGATTTATGCTGCATGTTCAAACGTAAAGTTTCAAAATGTTCCTCATAAAGACACTTCACGATGTTATCTTGTTGATCTCTTTTGTTCTCAGTTCATATAAGCGCAACATTCAATTTGTCTTCCAGTACTTATGTTTCGAATAGCACAGCAAGCTTACTTCCAATTATATACAAGAATAACAATATTTTCCATTTTGTGCGAATACCATACATAAGTTTGCAAAAAAAAAACCTTAATTCTATTACTTAAGTGAAATTTATTTAACCCTTTTCGAGAATCCATTTTGTGTTGCTCTCCCTGAGGGAACATCCCCCTTCTTTCAAAGAAATTTCTACTGTGCTGCATGTATTCTTATCAATATTAAATGTGCATACCGGGCCGCGCCATAGCTCAAGCTGTTAGTCGCTGGCTTCCCACCGTGGCGGCCTGGGTTCGATCCCGGGTCTGGTCAAGTAGGATTTGTGGTGGACAAAGTGGCGCTTGGGCAGGTTTTCTGAGTACTTCGGTTTCCCTTGCCAAATATTCATTCCACCAATTGCTCCACAATCACCCTCACCTATCATCTGGGGCTGGTACAATAGGCCAGAAGTGGCCGCAGTCCCACCCCACTAGCAATATAAAAATGCATGCTGCGTGATATAGTGATATCTGTGAATTGCAAATTTTTCGATCACATCAATATATTAACTTCAAATCAATCACAAAATCGTGGTACAACTTGTCAAAATTAACATTTCGATTTAAACACAAGATTCAATGTATAACGTACTTTAGATTATGGTCAAGGTGCAACAGTGGGGACGCGTGTCTGCTTACCAACTGTTCTAGTACTCATCTTTACGTAAATAAATGCCAATTTAAGAAAAATAGGTAAAACTTTCGAAGAGACAAATTAACCTAAAGCAAACTTAATAATCGTGCGTTTTGTCTCCCAGAAAAAGGCGAATCTCTCTTACAAAGATGAGTGGGAAAAGAATGTTCAAAATAAAAAAAGAACACTTATCTATTATATGAACAAAGCGAACTGTAGACACAATATGTTGACGTAATTCCGCCTCATTGAACGTGAAATAAAATAGCACTTGAAATTAGAATAGCAGCTGCCATGCTATTGCGAAGTCAAACATCGGTACTAATAATGTATTCTTATCTTCATATATTAGAGTACATCATCCCTCTTAGAGCTTAACCAAATTAATTCACAAAGGAAGAATTATATTCCAAGGTCCAAAAATCGCATTTCGCTCTCACAGAAATTCACAAAACTGAAACTAACTTCATGGAGCTGAGCCCTACTTGAGAAGCCTCCAGTCACTCGACTATTCAAGAATTTCCAAGCATTTTATGGAACCTGAACGTTCATTACTGTGTTCATATCTTGAGCCAAATCTTAGCTTCGGTCGTTTATCTAAATAATCAGTTCAAGTCCGATGCCGTTTCTTTAACTCTCTTTAACAATTTTTTTTATGGTGAGAAGTTGGTAGCCCCGTGCCCAGCACCACAAGCTGGACAACTACCCCTTGTCGTCTGTCCGTGACTGCTCATTCAGTATATTCGCAGCTACTGTCCATATCTGGAGGCCGTCTCCTCCATCCGCAACCTGAGGACGCGCCATGTCGTGGTGACAAGACATTCACTTAACATGACACATATACACAAACATACATAAATACACAAACGTTTACTTCTTGGATTACGTATCGATACATCTTGAAGACAAGAAGGATCATTACCTATAATCGAGGTTTCCAGGATAAATATA